CTATTGGACTCTATAATCAGCCACTAAATGCATATGATGAGCCTCCAAAGAGAAAAGGTGCTAAAGAAACTTAAGAAATGTAGTTGCAGAAATAGAACCCGCCTAACAGAAAAGGAATAATATAAAAGACAAGTCAGGATAAGATCTAAGGAAGTGACACTGAAAAAAATATTCTGAAAAACTAGGGTTCTTTTCAGGTGAAAGTGGTCAAGGAGGTTTGGTCAGAGGAAATGTGACTGGATTGGGGCCTTCTAAGGTGCCACAGTATCCAGGCAGCTAAGAGGAGGTGGGGAGTTTAGGCCGAGAATGACCAGAGCAAAGGCCAAGAGGGAACCACTGTGGGTAACTGAAACTGAAAGGACAGCAGTAGAAAAGGGGGTTGGAACTGACTTTATGGGACAACCTTGTCTTTGTCTACCAATTCAAGGATTTAAACAAAAACCAAGAAGTCATTGAAGATTTTTGAGCTGAAAAACAAAATGATCACACTGGGGTCACACAGGCAGTATCACATAACCTGGTAGTGTGTATCACTACATATCATTCTCTACAAGGGCTCAGTCTTTTTCCTTTCATTGCATTCAACCCTGCAAAAGATCCCAACCTCAGATCAGCCCAACCATCCACTTCCCAGACTCTTGAACTTAGGTCTGGACTCACACTTGCTGAAGAAAACCAAATCCTACAGAATAATACACAATTACTGTGTACTCTCCAGCCTGACCACAGCCCTCAGCCTGGCCCAGCCAATCTTTTTTAGTGTTCCTAGGCCACTTCCTCTTCTCTTTCCCAAGGAACAACTGTTTCTAGCTTTCACCATTATCCTCAAGTCCCTCTACTCCACTGCTTCCCAGACATTTTAGCTGGTGTGTCTGCCCCCTTCCTCTGAGGAACAACTCAGTCCGTCATCAGACAAGGAAGAACTCTTTCAACTTTCTCCACCCAAGCCTAAAAAACGTACATATTTCAAATACCCACCCAGACTTCTTTGCTTCTAATCTAAGCCCTCCATTTGTGATTTATCAATCACTTGTGTCCCTTAGTTGGTTGTTCCTCATTTCTTTCTTTCTTTTTTTTTTTTTTAAGATTTTGTCTTTTGCAGGGTGGCTGGGTGGCTCAGTCATTAAGTGTCTGCCTTCAGCTCAGGTCATGATCCCAGTATCCTGGGATCAGGTCCTGCATCAGGCTCCCTGTTCAGCGGGAAGCCTGCTTCTCCCTCTTTAGCTCCCCCATGCTTGTGTTCCCTCTCTCACTGTCTCTCTCTGTCAAAATAAATAAATAAAATCTCAAGAAAGAAAAAGAAAATAAAAGAAAGAAATGAGGGAAGAAAGAAAGGCGAATATGTAGGAAGGAAGATTTTTATTTTTTTAAGTAATCTTTACACCCAACATGGGACTCAAACTCACCACACTGAGATCAAGAGTCTATCAACTGAGCCAGCCAGGTGCCCCAGTTGTTCCTCATTTCTCATTTGTTTCCGATCTTCTTTATATTGGCCCATATAAGTTGCTCGAAGCCCTTCCATCTCAGGGAGGAAAAAACCCAACATAAAACAAAACCTTTCCTTGATGCCATAAGCTACTCTCCTTCTCAAGCACAGATGGTCATAGGCCTTGGTCTTCAGTTCTCTTCCAGTCTTATTCTACATAGCCTCTTTGGGCAAACTCATCCATTCTCACATCTTCAACTACCATCTCTGAGTCATTAGCCAGCAAATCTCTACTCTTGCCATACTGAGGTCCTATGGTGTCAATCTCACATTCCACTAATGAACAACATTCTCCATCTTTATGTCTCACTGATACCTCACATTAAACCTGACCAAAATGGAATGTCTTCCCCCTAAATTTGTCTCTACTTCTATTCTGGATCTCTTTAGGGACTGACACTCTCTACTCGGTCATTCACGTAGGAAAGCTAGGTGTCATCCTAGATACCCCAAGTCATTAACTCAGGCTAATTCTACTTCCTTAACCTCTGCTATCCAACCCCTATAAACCCCCACTGCTACTGCCTTTGTTCAGACCCTGAATATCTCTAGCTTAGGCTACTCAACCACTTCCTAACCTCCTTTTCTGCTTCCAGTCTTGTTCCCTTAAATCTATTCACAAAATGGTTACTGGATTTGGCCATACAACTATAACTACCCTGCTTAAAACCCTTCAATGGATACATAAGAAACTTCATGGTGATTGTTTCTGGGGAGAATGGTGGGGGCTACAACAGAAGAAAATATTTACCTTTCACTTTAGTACTATTTGAATTATTTACCACAGCATGCACTACAAAACCGAAGTTTCAGGAGCTTCAAATGCCTACAATACAAGGTCCTTGGTAATCTCCCCTGCTGGTTTTTAAGCTGCTCTCTCAAGTTACTCTTCTGTCCTAAATGCGCTAGAGTCTATCCTTTCATCTTTTAAGTTTCAGCCCAAATGGTACTTCCTCCCAACTTTTCCATACGGAAGAGACCTCTCTCTCCTGTGTCTACTTTGTGCTGTAAATATACTTCCATCATGATATCTACAGATCATGTTATATGTCATACTTAAACAGATAGTTTGAAATGTCTGTCTCCCTCCCTTAGCCTTAGATTCCCTGAGGGCATGAAGTATTTCTTACTCATCTCTGAATTTTCAGAGTCTAGTTACAGAATCCGAACTTACAGGGGGTGGGGCTTGGACAAGTGTTTTGAAAGTGCTTACCGGTGATTCTAACTCAATCTCCTATTAATAACTGATCTAAATTATAAACTCCTTGAGATCAGGAATCATTGTGACCAGCACAATGTGAATGATCAAGAAATGGTTTTTAAACTGGAATGGAAGCAGACAAGTCCTGAAATTGAGGGAGGAAGGCTTGGAACTGGAGATTTGGAGGAATCAGAATACAAGGTGTGTGAAACTGCGGCAATAAATAAGTTTACTCAAGAGGGTCCAAAGTGAGACGAGTTAGGGAGCCAGTGCAGACTTGTCACCCAGTAACTGCAGAGGACTCATTTACATGTGTTTCTCCATCTAGACTGTTGAGTTCCTTAAGGTCAGGAACTCTATCCTGTTCATCTCTGTCCACCTGTCACTGAGCACAGTGCACAGCTTAGAACTTCTTACTGGACGGTATCAGTGACACTAACAGAAGAAGGTACAATACTTCCAGAACACAAAGTTAGAAGTGACTACTTTGGCCAGGGCAGTGGGGGGCCAGAAATAGACGTTTTCAGAGGGACAAATAAGTTCAGTCCTGAAAGAGAAGTTCATTTGGCAGAGAAGTAGTTCAAGTGGAGGGAAGAGCAGGAGCTTAAGGCATGAAGGACCACACGGCAGATACACCCCTTCCATGTAGCTGGGATTCGAGTGCATGACACAGGAAAAATGTGGGCGCTTCAGAAAATTAGTCTGAGAGGATCAGACTGTGAAGGGCCACGGAGGCCACCAAAGGATTTAAACCTGACTGTGGGGGGCCAGAGGGGAGTTTTAAATTTAATCTGAAACGACCAGATTGACTTTGTAAAAAGGCAACTAACTAGTGGCAGCACGAAGGGCAAAGTAAAGAACCAAGACTCGAGGGAAGGAGCTTCATTAGTAGCTGACAGCCCAGCTCACAAACCCAAGCAAGAGCTGTATCCTCCTTATGTCTCTCACCCGAGAGAAAGGAGCTAAAGAAACGAGAAATCCATTCTATAAACACCCAAGATTTAAGTCAAGCGAATTTCGATTTCCGACTCCTGCTTGGCGAGCTGCATTTGTTTCTTCGGGTCTGAACAGGATGGAAAGTTCCAAAGTGGAAACGCCCGGGAACCTTCTGTTCTTCCTGAGGGGTTCCACGCCATCCATCCCATCATAGTCGCACCACTGCACGAGGACCGGCTATACACCCGAGCGCGGGGTGAACGCCGCGGCACCTACTGGAACTCGGGGTGGAAAATTGCGCGTGCGCGCCTACCGCGCAAGCCCCTCCCCATGCCTTGAAAGCCGGTGGCGGGAAACCTTCCGCAGCACCTCTCGAAGGTGCCCCCGCGGCTCTGAAAGGACGTTGTCCGCTAGAGCCCTCTCTCCCACACACTCACCCGTTCCCGGCCGGTCCTCAGGATCCCTGCGGAGCCAGCGGCCCTCAGGGGCCCGGCCGAAGCCTTTCCCGCCACCCTACCCGGCGAGACCAGTCCCCGCCTGCGCGGAGAGTGGGGCGGGCGAGCCGGGCTGGTCCATGTAACCCCAACCGAGCCGCGGGGTGGGGGGGGATGGTGGTGGTGGTGATGAAGTAAGGAAAAGGGAAGAGAGTACAAGTACTGTTTGATCTGAGTTGATCCCCTATGGTGAGCTAAGAACCACAGCGCTATAAATTTTCTGCTAAGATAATAGGGATCAAAGACCGATTAGAGGTAAATTTGCAAACATTCACCCCCCGCTTAGTCAAGTGGATTATTCCAAATTCTCAATGGTTAGTTAGAAAAATTAGGCTTTATTTGGGAGGAAGTGGAGAGTTGAGCTACGGGCTAGAGTGGGCTTCCAAGCTAGAGATATAGTTTTAAAGCTTGCGAAGGGAGCGGGCTCCTAAAAGGAAGAGAACAACAATAAATATTCACTGGTAAGTTGAGGATCTCCTCTGGACTCTGCTGAGATGAGTGTATTTTGCTGATGACAAAAGAAGATAGGGCTCAGACGAATAATAATCTGAATCATTAAGCATTTGAATAGAAGGAATCAATTTCTGGGATATGAAGAGAGTTTTAAGAGATTTGCTGAAGATGAAAGGACACACGAAAGAAAAGTGAAAAGACGCACACAAAAAAGGAAAATAAAGAAGACTATAAAACTAGCGGTAAAAGCAGAAAGATACCATTTGAAGAGTGTTTCTGATCGGGTCTAATGAAATTAAAACTGTGAGGATCAAAGCCTCTCCATCCTACGGCCCCCCACCCCTATCTCTGCATTTGCTCTGGGCATCAGATTTCCTGTTTTGATCTTAGGGAGTTCTCCTTTGGCTTAAGTACCAGTTGCCTGGAGGCGCCTTGGGTATGCCTGGCAGAACTGCTAAACTATTTAAATTTTCTAGGTTCTAGGCTCACCCTACCCCTTGTTTAGATTGGGAGCTCACTGGCCCAGGGCCTCCCAAAGAGATCTGTCATACCAGAATGAACACAAAACCCAGCTGGTGGATGTAGACAAGTTTATGTGGCTTTACCCAACAGTTCAAATCCCACTGGCAACTTTTCTCAGAGCTACTTCCCCACCCAAGTCCCTGGGGCAAGCATCCCTGAGATAAGTTGGCTACACTCTTCCATTAACTTCTCCCAATTTTTTGGTACAATTGCAACCTGGTATGGGGCTCATGCCTCCATTTTCTCTCTCCCTGCCCTCAGCCCCTTCTCCCAACCCTTGGAATGCCTTGTCTCCATCTGCCTCCTGTGAGGAGTACCCCCTGCTTCCCTGCTCCCGCATAAACCTAGGGCCATAATAAACTTGACTGGCAGTAGGGTGAAGGCCAGAAGCTGAAAGGTCTTGGTTCCCTGTGTTCACCACACTGGGTTGGGAGAGTAAGGTATAGGGTGATACCTTTTTTCCCTTCCCTACCTCTCCTGCTGTGCCCCAAAACTCAGACACAGCCACGTTCACTCACATTCATACCATTCATACGCACAATCATACACACAGCGGCGAAGAGAGGTGGGTTGGGGAGGAAGGGAAGTTTGCACAAACCAGCTCATGAATGCAACTTGAAAGATTTCACACAGCAAAAGGGGAAAAAAAAAACACACATAAATTAAAAAATAAAGAAGTATATGTCCCTCCCCCAGTCTCTTTCTTCGTCCAGGGGTTGGCTCAGCCCCTCTGAGTAAACCCAGAAGCTTCCTACTCCCTCTAGCCAACTGGAGTTTTCACAGGGCCTGGGTCTTCAGTTCAACAGGTTCCCCAGTGCCCTCTGGTTGTCCATTGGAGTCACTGGGCCTGGCGCCCTTGAGAATAGACAGTCTCTCAGAAACACTCTTGAGCCGGGGAAAGAGGAGAAAGTCGTAGAGGAGACTGCCTAGTCCCCCTCCAATGATTGGGCCCACCCAGTATACCTGTAGGAAAAGGGAGAAGAAAACAAACATCTGTACTTGGTGCATACAACTGGGCACTATTTAAGCAGAAACCAGTGTTTGTTTTTAAATTCTAGATTGCTCTACTGCTTGTACCTCAAAACTTACAATTTCTTTTCTGACTCACCAAATTAGTCCTTTATCCCACATATATATTCTATTTCTTGTTACCAGTTTTCACTAGTTTATACATTGCTTTGAAAAAAAAAAAGCGTTTGATTGTGGTAAAACACATGACATAAAATTTACCACCTTAACCAATGCTAAGTGTACAGTACAGATGTATGTTAAGTATATCATATTGTTGCGCAACAAACCTCCAGAACTCCTTCATCTGGTCAATCTGAATCTCTGTACCCATTAAACAACAGCTCTCCATTGCCCCTTCTCCTGAACCTCCATCAAGTACCCATGTACTTTGTTTCAGTGAATTCGACTACTCTAGACACTTTACGTAAGTGGAGTTATACAGTATTTGTCATTTGGTGACGGTGTATTTCATGTAGCATAATGTCCTCAAGGTCCATCCCATGTTGTAGCCTTCGACAGGACTTCCTTCTTTGTAAGGCTGAATACTATTCCGGTGCATGTGGAGACTGCCTTTTGTTTATCCACTCACTTGTGAGGGACACATGGGTTGCTTCCACCTTTTGGCTTCTGTGAATAATGCTTCTGTGAAAATGGGGATACAGCTTTGAAAAATTTTTAATTATTTCCGTATGCTTGGCGGGCATATGACTAAATAACACAGACATAGCCAATTTTTATTGAGGTCTTAGTCCAGACCAGGTGCTGTGCTAAATATTTCACACATACAATGTTCACACTTACTTCTCCTCACACCCCCATTTTATGGTAAGGAAACTGGGACAAAGAATGACAGAGTCATTTGCCATGGTCACACACTGGGCCAATAATGTGCTAGAACGGGGGTGAGGTGCAGGCCCATCTGTACGCATACATATCCTGAGCCCTGAGAGGAGCAGGTTTTGACTTCCTGTTCAGTTGTCTATCCTCGTAGTGCTAGTTTTAGAATCCTGTGGATACTTAGTAAAAAATCCCTGACCAACCAACCAACCAGTGAAGGAACAACATGAGGAGCAAGAGCTTCTCTTTCTAGCAAATTTATGAATTGTGCTCACAGAGGCATGCCAGATTCTGTGACAGCCCCTTTAGCTGAGTGCTAGTAAAGCAGTTAACATATCCAGATGGAAATCAGGAACCAAATATGGAGCCTGCAGCCCACACCCATACAGGAGGGCTTTGGGATCTTGGCCCTCTCCCCTCACTCACCCAGTGGTTGGTGAAGTTTCTGGTGAGAATGGCAGGAGCAAAGGAGCGGGCAGGGTTCATGCCTGCACCAGTATAATAGATCTGCAAAAGACACAGTCATAACTGAGACACTTTCCCCTACTTCACCCCAGCTTCTCTCCCCACAACCCACATGCCCCCAAGGGCTGGCACCTTGCCCCCAGCCAGCAGCAAGAAGGGAAGGATTAACTGAGGGTGGGCGTTCCACAATGGAGTAAAGGCACTATGGATCCCTAGACAAAGCCCACATCTACCCCTGATGCATACACCTCCACCTTGAGGTCAAGAAGGACCAGATATAGAGATCACAAAAGAGAGGACTAGAACAGGCTTGACTCCTCTGTGCCGACCAAAACAGAGTGAGGAGGACTATGTTCATGTTTGACCATGAGCTGGGCAGAAAAAAACTTTAAAAGTTGGGAAAGGTCTAAGGGCCATAGAGTCCTTAAACAAGAAGTTTCTCTCCTCTCCTGCTTACCCCAAAGAGGTGTCCCAGGGTGAGGGAGAAGCCCACAGCCAGGGCTACAGATCCCAGGCGGCCATTGCGCCTCTCGTCGTATGTAGCAAAGATGCAGAGCACAAACTGGAGCGTCAGGAAGATCTCCACTGTGGTGGCCTGGCCCACACTCACCCCAGGGTGCAACTGGGCGGAAGAAGAAGAAAGGAGGCAACTCATTAGGGTTGTCCCAATGTTACCTCCTCAGGGCTTCCCACCCAGCAAGCCCTGTATGGCATCATTTCCCTGGAGAGGGAGGATGATACAACCCCCTTCACAGTAATTGTATTTGCTTGTTTCTCCCAATAATACTCCTACATGGTAGAAAGAATTGTACCCACTCAGACAGATGAGGAAGCTGAGGCCCTGTCAGGAAAAATAATTCTCCTCGAGAACCTGCAAGGAGCTAGAAGGAAAGCTGAAACCAGAACTTGGGTCTCTTGAGTCAGTCCAGGCCTTTATGCCTTCCTTACTCCTCCAAACTACATTTGACAGACATATGTGTGCATGTGAGCATACACTCCCCCCCCCCCCCCCCTCCCCACAACATCCCAGGATCCCTGAGGAATTGATCGGACTCCTCCAGGCAGGGAGTCAGGGTACCAGGTTCGTCCAGCCCCACTTAGCTGACCATTACCGTATTAAGTGCTAGGTTTCCTCGGACGGCAGGCGGGGTGACACTGTATAGCACGGCAGCCCCAGACACGGCTCCCAGGAGTTGGGCTGCCATATAGCAGAAGGCCCGGAGCAGAGACATCTGGGAACCCACAAGGAAGGCGAAAGTGACTGCAGGATTGACATGGGCTCCGCTGATGTGGCCCACAGCCTGCACCAGCGTAGCCAGGGCCAGGCCAAAGGCCAGAGCCACCTGCAGGACATGCAGGGGTCCGGGGGTCCAACGCAGTGAGGCCCCCAGTCCAAAAAAGACATAGAAGAAGGTGGCAAAGAACTCAGCAAATATGGCCCTCCAGAAGGAGGCTGACCTCAGTTCCCACATGGCAGGGGGGATGGGCACAATGCCTGGGTCCCTGATACCCCCCTGGCCTGATCTGGGTGGACAGTCCCTTTTATAGAGGACTCTTAATCCCTGGGAGGGGCAGGCTGAAGTGGCTGGTCCAGCCTCTTAACCCCTTCAGAGCTGCAGAGGGCTGGACCCACTCTTACGCATCTGATAAAGCTGCTGGATTTCCCCCTCCCTCTTCCAAGGGAGATGAGCAGAGCCCTGGGTGGGTGTTAGGGTAGGGGTAGAGCCAGGGCTAGAGAGACTCTGAGAGAAAAGGATCAAGAACAGGGGGACCGTCAAAGTCCGTTTCTCTCTGTGTCAAATTTGGGGTTCATGGTCCTGATTGACATCTATATTAGAACATTCCTCAGTTCTGCTTGGAAGATCAATCAAATTGAGTTCACTTCACAGGGTATTAGACTGTGATCCTAGGGGCCTTCAGTCTCCTCTGAGTCGGCCAGGGGTAAGGGTGGGGGTGGGGGTCAGGAGTGGGGTCCAGCAGGGAAGCTGGATAACTGAAGAGAATTCTTTAGTTCTCTGGGATTAGAGGGCCTTTTCCCATTGGTTGGTTTGGTCTGGAATCTGTGGACCCTGCAGCTCTGGGACAGAATAGTTCTGCTGTGTCTGTTTTTCTCCAAACCCAGGTTCCCTACCCCCAATCCATGCCAGCACCTCCCTTTCCAAACCCTCAGCCTGGCCTTGTAAACCACAAAGATAAGAGGAAGAATCTATCTTCCATGGATAGGGTGAGGGTGAGCTTGGGGACTGGGGAGGAGAAAAGGGCTTAGTAGTTAAATTTCAGAATCAGCTTATCCTTCATCTTTCCTAACTCACAAAGTCCTAGCAGGAAGTACTCAAAAGAAAGAAACTGAGTCATGGTTATGGAGCAATGCGAGGGTCTAATGCCTCCTAATATGGTCCTAATCAGGACCTTGGGGCCTTAAATCTGGATCCCTAAGGAAGAGTCTGGGGATGGGGGTATCTGGACAAGCATGCTGGTCAAGGAGACAGAAGAGGACAAAATGGGGTAAAAGAGCATGGGGAAAGAGGTTCAGTTGTGCCCAGGCTTGATGGGGGACTTAGTGGGGGGCTCTGCAGTAGTAGAGAAGGCAGAATGGGATACACTGGAAGGCTCTACCATCTCTACCCCATGGCAAGTCATACATGCCACAAACGTTTCCCATGAAGCACCAGAGGAGAACAAAAATTTAAAGAAGAGGTCTGCAATATTGGTTCCCAGCATTGGACCCATCCAATACATCTGTGGAGAGAGAGGAAGAACACAGATTCAGGCCTCTTCTCCTCTCATCCTCCAATATCCAGCTTGGGAATGGATAGGAACAGTTACAGCAAAGGCAGAGAGCCCATCTCACCCACCCACATGTAGGAAGTTGCTGAGAACAGGTCAGAGGGCACCCAAGGAGACTAGAGCGCCCAGTTTCATGGAAGAGGAACAATCCATTAGAGATCCTTGGAATCTCTTGGGTTTTAGATGGCCCACCAATATCCTCACTTCAGGCCCTGGGACCCTTGTTGCATCTCACCCAGAGATGCTCCCAGTTCCCAGTCACCTCTGTCGGCCCCCGAGGAGATACAAGTTTCATGCTGCTTCTGGGGAAAGGAGCCTGGGACAGGACAGAAAGTAGTATGTCATGGTAGTAAGAGCAGAGACTCTGGCAACAGATACCTTGGTTCAGATGTGGATGAGAATACAAAGTGACAGAAGTAGTTAAGACTGATAGTGGGAGTATAAATTGGGATTATTACTTTGGAACAGTATATAGAACGATATTATAAAGACGAACAAACATAGTTTCTGACCCAGGAATTTCACTTCTCATTTATATAACCAAGAGAAACTAACTTCTTCCTTCTTTCCTTCCTTCCTTTCTTCCTTCCTTCCTTCCTTTCTTTCTTTCCCCTTCTTTCTTTCTTTCATTTTCATTCCTTCCCTCTCTCCCTTCCTTACTTCCTGTTTTTCTTTCTCTGTCTCTCTCTTTCCTCCCTCCCTCCCTCCCTCCCCCTTCCATCCTTCCTTCCTCTCTCTTTCATTCTTTCCCTCCCTCCCTTTTTCCTTTCTTTCTTTTCTTCCTTTCTTTCTTTCCTTCCTCCCTCCTTCCTTCCCTCCCTCCCTCCCTCCCTCCCTCCCCCTTTCTTTATTTCTATCTCTCTTTTTCTTTCTTAGGAGACAGAGAGGAGGGAAAGAAGTAGAGGGAGAGAGAGAATCCTAAGCAGGCTCCATGCCTGGTCAGATGCTTAACCAAGTGAGCCACCCAGATACCCCCCAAAAGAAACTTCTCTATACCTACACCAGGAGACATATACAAGAATGTTGAGAGCAGCACTGTTCACAACTGCAAAATGCTTGAAGCAACCCAGATACCCATTGATAGGAGAATGGATGCCTAGACAATGATATATGTCTCTGTCTATATATATACATATATTTCATACAATGGAAAATTATTTGGCAGTCAGAATGAGAGAACCTGGAGCACCTGGGTGGCTCAGTCAGTTAAGCATCTGACTCTTGATGTCAGCTTAGGTCTCCTCTCAGGATTGTGAGTTCATGCCCTGTGCTGGGTTCCATGCTAGATGTGGAGCCTACTTAAAAAAATAAAATAAAAAGTGAACCACCACAGTGATACTCAATAACAGGGAGGAGTTTTAGCAATAAAATATCAAGTAAAAAAAAGAGTCCCAGAAGATTATACATGGCATGATAAACTTTTTATAAAATTAAAAAAAAAAAATCAGGGTGCCTAGCTGGCTTTGTTGGTAGTGCACATGACTCTTGGTCTCAGGGTTGTGAGTTCTAGTTCCATGTTGGGTGTAGAGATTACTTAAAAAAAATCTTAAAAGAATCTAAAATAAAAATATGCTTTTCAGAACACATACAGATAAGATGAAACTACACAAAAAAGAAAATAAAGAATGATGAATACGGGATTCAGGATGGTGTTTACCTCAGGCTGGGGGAGCAAGGGGATGGAGTGGAATATTTATTGATTTCTGTGATTCTCAAGGCTCTAGTTTTTCTGTTACGTGGTTGGTTTAATTGGGGTGCCTAGGTGGCTTAGGCGGTGGCACACATGGCTCTTGATCTCTGGGTCGTGAGTTCAAGCCCTCCATGAGGTGCAGAGATTACTTAATAAAACGATGCTTAGTTTGTTATTTAAAGAAATAAATTAGGGGTGCTTGGGTGGCTCCGCTGGTTAAACGTCCACTCTGTATTTGGCTCAGGTCGTGATCTCAGGGTACTGGGATCAAGCCCCATGTCAGGCTCCGCACTCAGCGTGGAGTCTGCTTGGAATTCTCGCTTCCAGTTCTCTCTGCCCCTCCCCCCACAAGCTCACACTGGCGCTCGTTCTCTCTCTGGTAAATAAATAAATAATTCTTTTTAAAAATTAGGGGAAGCCATATATAGACCAATGAGGAGGGGATGTCATAAACAAAGGAATAGTCCATGCCCTTGAAATCCTTAACAAACAACAGAAACAAACAAACAAAAAAACAACTGGCTAAAGTTATCCCTACTAAATATAAATTCCAGAAGGGCAGGGATGTGTCTGACTTGTTCACCACTGCAAACCCAAAGCTTAACACACAGCAGACAACAAATAAATGTTTGTTGAATAAATTAACATAAGCTCTCCAAGCCTCAATTTCTTCTGGATCAAATAACATAATGTAGGTAAAGTCTTAATATACTGTTTGGTACAGAATAAAGCACTTAATAAAATAAATAGGAGCCATTTGATGAGGGTTTTATTAAAAGCAAAAGCTTATCCCTAACCACCAACTCTACAACCTCTTGTAGTAAGAAACAGAAGAGCAAAGTGCAGCTAATTCAGTCCCCTTGTTTACATCAAATAAAATGATTAGATTTCCTTATTTGAAGCTATCAACTTCTTTTTTTTTAACTTTTTTTTTTTTTAAGTAACCTCTATGCCCAACATGGGGCTCAAACTCATGTCCCTGAGATCAAGAATTGTATGCTACACCGACTGAACCAGACAGACACCCAAATCTCTTCTCTTTATTCCTCACCAAACATTGACTAGAATCTCACGGAAAACTGAATCCTGGCCCATTTCCTTTCGCATTGGCCACTTAGCTGAATGACAAACTTCCAAATTCAATATAAGCTCTCAAAAGCTCACTTGAGTTTTTGCATAGATTTATATTAAACTAAAATAGCCATTATTTTCCATTAGCCTAGACTCTTGACTTTATTTTTTTTAAAGATTTATTTATTTAGTTAGTTAGTTAGTGAGGATTCAGGATCAGAGGGAGAGGGAGAATCAGACTCCCCGTTGAGCAGGGAGCCTGATGTGGGGCTCTATCTCAAGGACTCTGGGATCATGACCTGAGCCAAAGGCAGATGATTAATTGACTGAGCCACCCAGGCACCCCTAAAGAATGATTTATTTGAGAGAAAGAGAGCGAGAGAAACTATGTACACAAAGAGGGAGAGGGAGAGGAGGACACCCCACTGAGCAGGGAACCCCCACATGGGCTCAGTCCCAGAATCCTGGGATCATGACCTGAGATGAAGGCAGCCGCTTAACTGACTGAGCCAGCCAGGCACCCCTAGCCTAGCCTCTTTAAAGGCAGGCGGGGGTGGGGGGGAGCTGTGTCTCCCTTGAGGAGTGGAACCCAGGCTTCCCCAAGGCCCTGCTTGGTATGGGCTGGGTTCTTACCAATGCCAGTTCTCTAGTAGTCACTGAGCAACCCACTGCTGGGCTGGCTGGCCCACCTGCTTCCAAGCACTGCTAGTGAGCCACAGCAAATGTGGTGAGTACCTGCTGGATAGGGAGAAACACTCCACACCCAGAGATTGGCCTATGACTCTTCCTGCTCACCTAGATGAGACCAGAGGTGCTAGAACCAGAGCGGGAGGACACAAACTACCCCCCTCCCCCACTCCCTGCAGCCTCCCAGACCCCACCACCTATCTACCAAGACAGCTTTAAGCAAAGGATCTGCAACAAGTTACCCAAATTCTTAAGTGGCTGAGCCTAACTCATTGGCCTATTTGCATCATACTGAAGGTAGCTGAATGAGAGGATGCACAGAGCAGGGGGCCCTCCTCTTTTGTTCATTCCTTGAAGTCCTATCAGCCACCTGCT